GATCCTGGAGCATCCCGGTGCCACCGAGGCTTCCGCATTCCTGCGCCCTCCCTGCGTCCTGTTTGCCGGGCGCGTCACCCCGGCCTGAGTCACCCCGCGGCCTCCGCAGGTGACGGAAGGCCAACAATAGCCCACAAAGGGAGGATGTCCCCCAAAGCCTTCCTCCGGCTCGTCTTCGAGGAAACCTCCCGCGGGAGGGACGGGCCCCACCGGACGCGCCGTGGCCGAGGAGCTCCGTCCTGTTGACGCTGGCTCGGAGCGACACGTGGCCCTGGGGGTCCCCGGGGACCACCGTGCCACCCCCGAGCTGCCCCTGAGGGTGAGGGCACTGCGAGGTGGAGCTCAAGGGGTGTCATAAACTGGAATCTAGGGAATAAAAAGGGATAAAGGGGCTGGGGACGCGCTGGGAGTGGGGTGCAGCCCCCAGCGGCCCCGGGAGCCGGGCAGGGAGGACGAAGCACCATTAACGAGTGTCGCTAATGAACAGGGTGGCAGTGAAGTGCTCCTGACTGTCCCCAGAGCACCGCACCGCATCCTCGGGAAACTGCCGAAACAATCACAGCAGCTCTGGTGTCCCTCTGCCACCTGCCCCTGACAGGGACCCCCGCCCCTTCCGGGGGTCCTGTCACAACGGGGGGACCAGGGGTGGACAGTGGGACACGGGACAGGACAGTGGGACACGGGACACGGGACAGTGGGACACGGGACACAGGACAGGGGACACAGGACACGGGACACGGGACAGGAGGATGTGGGACAGGGGACACAGGACAGGGGACACGGGACAGGGGACACAGGACAGGGGACACGGGACAGGAGGATGTGGGGCAGGGGACACAGGACAGGAGGATGTGGGACAGGGGTCTGTGAGGCTCCACGGCACGGTCCTGGTGCCACCTCGTGGTGAGCGGGGTCCCCGTGCTACAGCTGGACATTCCGAGCGGTGTCACAGCGGGTGGAGTGGTGACACTGCTGGACAGGCATGGACACACCGGACAGTGTGGGGACACAGCCGGACAGTCGGAACAGTGACACAACCAGAACAGTCGGAACAGTGGCACAGCCGGACAGTTCAGTGGCACAGCCGGACAGTTCAGTGGCACAGCCGGACAGTTGGAACAGTGACACAGCCGGACAGTCACTGCAGGGCTGGGCTAACACCTCCCTGCCCAACAGGCCGTGCAGTGCCGCTGGGACGAGGCAGCAGCTCAGAGGGCTCGTGGTCCCCACACAGCCCCAGCTGTGTCCGGCCCTGAGGTGCAGGACCCCGGCCCAGGAAGAGGGGCCACATCCCCAAGGTCTCCATGGGCTGAGATGAGCAATGATCCCGTAGGGAACGCCCTGGGAGCCTGGGCAGGCGGGGACGTGAGTCAGTGGGGACAAATGTTTTGGCAGGGCCCATTGCAACAGATCAAGGTTGGGTGGTTTTAAATGAAAGAGGATTGGTGTGGATTAGATACAGGAAGGAAATTCTTCCCTGTGAGGGTGAGGAGGCCCTGGCACAGGTGTCCAGAGAAGCTGTGCCTGCCCCTGGATCCCTGGAAGTGTCCGAGGCCAGGCTGGAAGGGGCTTGGAGCCACCTGGGGTAGGGGAAGGTGTCCCTGCCCACGGCAGGGGGGCAGAACTAGAGGATCTCTAATGTCCTTTCCAGACCAAACCGGGACTCCATGACCTGTCCTGAGTGGGGACATTCATCCCTGGAGATCTGTGTCAGTGCCATTGTCACCTCCAATGCCTGTGGCAGCAGCTCTGCCCCTCTCGCAGCCCTCCTCTCCACAACCAGAGTCATTGAAGGAGGAAGTACCTGGGCAATCAGAGTGACAGCCCGAGGTCAAGGCTCCTCGTGATGAAGATAAGGAGTTTTTAGTGAGGCAGATGCACGGAGGTGCGGAGCTGATGGGCCTGGCGGGACAAAGGGCACATCCCAGCAGGATGGAGCCATGGAGCACAGGGCTGCTGGGCCCGGGCACTGGGCAGGGGCAGGTGCCAGCCTGCCCTGCTCCATGTCCTGTGGAGGAGGAGGGACGGCTTCGGGGGCTGACTGCCTTGGGGGGCATCCAGAGATCCCACGTCAGCTCTCACAGATCCGAAACACGAGGGTTCCCCAGGGAGCAAAGCCTTTCCCCGACCCCTCCATGGCCATCAGGTGGTGCCAGGCTCAGCTGGCACGCTCCCACCTCTGCTCCTGCAGGATCTTTGGACTTTGTGCTGATTTTGCCGTTCGCTTTTTCTTAGCAGCAGAATTCACTTTTCAAAGAGACAACGAGCCCTGCTGCCCACGCCCTGTGTCTGCTGGGGCCTCGTCCCTCCCATTCCGCATTCCTCTGCCCCCGTGCAAAGGCACAGGAGGAGGGAGCGGTCACGCAGTGTCCCCTCGGTGTCCCCTGGCCAGGACAGCCATGTGTCCCCCGCTCTGGATCGCAGCCTGGGCGCTCCTGCTCCACGGTAGGACAGGCGGTGGGAGGGGCGCTGGGGTGGGACGGCACATCTGGGACCCCCAGGAACCAGATGTGGAGAACGTGGGATGTCCCAGCCGCGGCTCTGGGTGAAGCAGGGCTGGGTCCGCCCCGGGGTAGGAGCTCGACTGTGGATGGGCCCGGGGCAGGTGACAGGTAAGGAGATCCCCAGGGTGCAGAGACCAGGTCCCCAAGGCCCCTCACGCTGAGGATGACCCCATCGTGCGTTGTCCCAAGCTGTGTGCCCTTGGCCCAGAGCGAGAAGCCAGGTGCCATCTGGTGATGGAGAGCCCAGGGAGTGGCGGTGGGACCCCAGCCAAGCAGCCCTGGGGAGAGGTCAGGTCCAGCTGGACACGGCCAGTCCCTTCCACAGCCCCAGTGCTGGGATGCTCCGGGCAGGCTCCTGCCAGCCCTCCGTGCCCCGTGCTGGGCACCAGCTGCTCCCCGTGGTGGTCCCACTGTACCACAGGCACCGGGAGATTTACCTCCTCTTGAACCAGGGGCTTTTCATCCACTGTTCCTGGGGCTAAAACTCCGGGATTTGCAAAAAGCCCCAGCGCTGGGCTGGCTGGTGTTCGGGGCTGGGGACGAGGGTCACAGCTGCCCGCTGCGGTTCTGGGCTGGAGGAAAGGGCCAGCAGGTCCCCAGGCTGCAGCCCGAGGCTCCCGGCTGTCGCCGTGCCCACAGGCTGTGCTGCGGGGAGGGCACCACCGGCTCCTTCCACCAGGAATGACATCCGGGATTGCTCCTCGGACCCACCGGTGAGCCCCACCTTGCTGCCCCTCCCTGCTCCTGAGACCCCTGCCTGGGGTCCCCCCCGGTCCCAGCCCGTCTCTGTGCCACCAGTACCTGCCACCGACTGCCTCCAACACCACGGCTCGTCTGGCCGCGCTGCGGAGCCTCATGCGGCCCCACGGCGCCCACGCCTACATCGTGCCCTCCACGGATGCCCACATGGTAAGGGGGGAGTGCCCCTCGCCCCCGGGGACCCTCTCCCTGCCCACGGCC